ACATAGAATGTTCTTTCTGTAAAGTAAAAACAAAACCATTCAAAGAATACTGTCCTGCAGTAATATCTGACAGCTAGGTCCTAAGAGGCAGCCTCAAAAAGAAAAAAAAAAATAGAGCATTCAAGATACATCACCAATTTTTCTAAAGCTAAGTCACAGCAGAGACCTCTCTGTTGCCCAGTGTCTTAAATGTTTGTTGACCGAGGATGCCTGTGTAGTCATAGTGCTCATTCCCCACAAAGGGGTACTTGGCCCTAGTCCTCTCAATGCCGTCCCAAGCGCTATGCTTTCTTGCAAGTAAGGATAGTCTGCTCTGAGGCTGCTCGCCCAGTGGATGCACTGTTGTCTCTTAGCCTTAGTTTCCCATCTAGGAAGTGTAGTCACTGCATATCACACAGTATGAAGCTGCCTTATACAGTGTCGTGTGATGAGTGCTGGCTGTTAGCCCCTTGGCAGTCCTATTGACCTGGGACAATAGGAAACTTTTCCTCCCTGTGAGGCTGCAGGTCCCTGTAGGTACTGCTGTGAGTTACATCTCTAAAGGCTTTTGAGTTCTGGAAGTGTGGAGACATGAGTGTCTCTCACCTTCCTGGGCCACCAAGAGGCAGGTGTCCTACCTCCCCTTCTCCTTCGGCTACCATCTACCCCAAAGTCAATATACCAGCCCTGCCCTAACTGGAATTACCACTCAGGAAAATAAGGGCTCTAAGACTATGCCATCCCTGGTCCTGCTTGAAGAGCCCACTGTCCCAGAAGCTTCACGAGCTCCATTCTGCTCAGGTTTGCCACCCAGACCCTCCCCTACCCAAGGGTTTGAGGAAGTGCTTTCCAGGAGAGAAAGCTTGCCCCAAGGATCCCACTGGACAATGGGAATCCCATCCAGTGTTCTTGAGCCCGCAAATTGTGCAGGAGGGTCGTGGCCTGTTTGTAAGGCCTCTTCTGTTCTAGGACTCCAAGACTGTCTGAAAACATGAGACCATTGCTGATGGTGCAGTGGAACGTACTCTGTGATGTAGACAGTGAGCCGACCAAATACCACAAATCCGTGCTGAAGTTGAGTAAAGGGAAATTGAGTTTCAATTCCCTTGGGACATTTTCTGCAGCTTGGAGTCCAATGTGAGGCAGTTCTACAGCTTGTCTGTAGGGCAGGTGCAGGGCAGGTGAGAGGAGCTGGAAGCAATGGATGGGTGAGTACGCTCAGATGTGGGGCTGTGGCTCTGGGGAACCATCTGTAAAGCTGTCGCTGAGAAGATCCTGAGACAAGCTCTCAGCTCTTGCCGAACTCGAAAGTCCACTACACACCAGGATCTTCAGTTTCAGAGCGATTAAGAAACCGTTATGTGTATATAACTCCAAACAGAACACACAAAATATTTATTAAAAACAGGTGAAAGAAAAAGGCTTCTGTGTGCAAGTCGCAAACGGCGTGCTGGAACCCACAGACACCCAAGCAGGTTCTTCAAGCAGAGCAAGAAAATTCGAAAACTATGAGATCCCCACCCCACGTGCCCCAGCAGGTGGCGCTGTGGGACAATAGACAGAGCAAAGGCCGGCTCAGAATCACATCCAAGCTAAACATTGTGATCTGTAGGAGAGGACAAATCCAGAGGCTCCTGATTTCCTAGGGAGTGGGATGTTCAGGAGTAAGAGGGATTGCTTCTTGCTCCTAGGGTGGGAAGATACCCAGACAGGACTAATCAGGGTGAACGCTTGTGGAGTTTTACTTCAGGAAACCAGAGGATCCCAGGATCCTATAAAACATCTGACTCAGCGCCATCAGGTAAACTCCCACGTCTGGGGCCCCTGTCATCCTGATGGGAGTTGTCTGCGCCAATAAAGTTCTTTTTTAGCTTTCCTCCTTCTTCCTCTGTGGCTGTTGCTCCCCGTCTGTGACTTTTGAGTGCTTCATCGTCTGTTGCTTTCACTCTCTTCCCACCTTGGTCTTCTGCCTTTCCTGGAAGTTCAATTCTTAGTTCCTTCCAGAACTCAGGGAACCCCCTAAATGACCACCTGTCACCTCAAGCCCTGTAATCTTAGTCACCTCTCACCTCTCCACACAATCAGAACAACCTCCCACCCTCCTGGAATCTCACAGTGGGGATGAAATATCAGCATAGGAACCCTGGTGGATGTACTCCAGCTACACCTGAACCAAAGCACCCCAAACAGCTTCCAGGCCAGACCTGTGGTGAAGTGGTACTGAAGAGATGGTACACACATGTTGAGACCCCCAAGCTGGCTGAGCCACATACGCCTAGCTACTGTGGGACTTTTCCAAGATGGGCCTGTTCCTTCTAGCAACTAGCTGCTCACTGACTCTTCCCCAGGACTGGCTCAGGGATGAAGGGAGTCACAAGAGCAGATTGAGATCTGTGTGGGGCAGGGAGTGTGGTGGAGCCAATTAATGGCTTCTGATTGCTGGACATTGGTGTAGCCAGAGGCCCAGGGAGGAGAAGGGATTTGACCTGGAGATGCTATCCCATCCTTCTGTTTCCCCAGCAGAATTTTCAGAGACTCAGCTCTTTCATACTTCATTTCCTGGAGCCAGGCAATGAGGAGGTGGGAGGTCTTTGCTGTTTTACTGTCTCCTGGCCCCTGCTGGTGCCAAGTCCTAGTGGCTCCTCACTGGGCACTGGTGTGTGCCTGAGGAGTGTGTGGGTCAACACAGCTTTGTCAGGGTGTCTTCACTCCTTGCTTCCTTATTGAATCAGCAGTTTGCATCAACAATGGTGAGCTCAGGAGCAGAGTCACTTCTGCCAGCTCTCCTTCCTCCCAGGTTCCTCATCCAGTTCCTAAATGCAGTTTTCATGGTGAGGCAGTAGCTCCCTGCTCCCTGCTCTCTGCGCCCAGACTTCCTGCAGGTCTGCCCACCTGGGTCAGGTTCTGAGGCTGAAGGGGGGTATCCCCTCCTGGGGTGAAGGGTCTGGAGTCACACCTGGCTGTGCTACTTTTACCTTGACACGTTGAAGGGGACACACCTCTCTGGTTCAGATGTGTTATATGTGAGTGGCTGACAAGAACAGCTGCTGGGCACTGGGCAAATGCTTTGAAAGCCAATTTAAAAAAAAAAAAAAGGAAGAAGATAGACTCTCACGATTACCCAAAATGCAAAGCACCTGATATCGCTCTTACTGTTGGACCAAATGCTGTTTATAGTATGCTGTCTCCTGAGCTAAATCTGGTGATAGCAACAGCTTTACAAGCTCTGGGTTGCTGATAGCCCTACTTAGGCAGCTAAGCAGAGTTGAGGGGGGCCCTTGTAGGATAATGGGGGGACAGGAGGAGGTCACAGTAATGTATGCTCACCAGTACTGGGTGGGCTCTAGGGCAGAGGCCTCAATCTGATTCATAACTGAGTTCTGAATGATGGGGCCCATCCCTTCATCCTTTGTCCTGAAAGCTCTTGCCTTTCCCCCAGAATCATAGCCCTTACTCCCCCTGGCTAGTCAGGAAGCCAGGAGTTCTATTCCAGGGCAACAGGTAGGAACAGACCAGGTGCCAAGGGCAAGCTATGGGTAGGAAGCAATGGGCTAAAATGCTACCAGCCACGCTGGGGACACTGGGAGAATCTAGATGGGTAAGAAATATGTTGTAGTTTGGAACTTACATGTCTGCAAAATCCATATGCAGAAGGCTGAGTTCCCAGGGAGGCAGTCTTTCCTTAGTTTTAAAAAATTAGCATACAAGCCAGGTGTGGTGGCACATGCCTTTAAACCCAGGACTTTGGAGGCAGATAGATGCAGGTGGATCTCTGTGAGTTCAAGGCCAGCCTGATATACACAGCAAGTTCCAGGCTGGCTGGGGTTATAAGGAGACCCTGTCTCAAAAACAACCAACCAACAAACGAAACATTAACTTCCAAAGTAAAGGGTTTCATAATTATTGTACTTCATAATAGTTTGCTTTGTTGGCTCTCTCTCCCCTCGCTCCCCTCCCCACACTACTGCCTCTCCCTCCTCCCCACAATACCCTCCTTAAGCCTCCACGCACTTGAGTTCTATTTTCCTCTTTATTCTTTTCCTCCAAAGATACTTTTTATCCCTCTTATGGCCCCTTTCTATTTTAGTGAGCACCCTTTCACATACACTTATAAAAATTTAAATCTGACCCACATGTGAGAAGAAACAAGTAGTTTTTCTTTCTGCATCTGGCTTAACTTTGCTTAACATAATTTCCAGTTCTACCCCTTTTCCTACATATGTCATGACTTCAGTTTTCTTTAAGGCTGAACAAAGTCCCTTTGTATGTGTGTACGACATTTTCGTTATTTATCTGATGGTAGACAACTGGGCTGGTTCATCTTCTTAGCAGTTGTGACTAATGTAACAATAAACATGGATGTGCAGGTCTCTCTGTGGTAGACTGACTTACAGTCCTTGGAGCATTACCTGGCGGTCGGGGTATGGCTGGGTCATAACATAGCTCCTTCTTTAGTTTTCAGAGAGAGGGAATATCTTTAGGTCATTGGCAACAGGCCCTTCAAGTAGTCTGTGGGAACTCTCTCTCTCTCTCTCTCTCTCTCTCTCTCTCTCTCTCTCTCTC